CCTGCTGAAGCCCTGAGTCAGGGTCTGTTCCCCTTGTGGGCTGAGTCCATTTGCAAATGCAAATATTTTTCTTGTGTGAGCAGGCGGCTTTGCCGGAGGCCGGAGGCCGGCGGGGACCAGGCTTCCAGGGAGCCTGACTCTGAGAGCTTGGCAGTGTCAGAGCCGCTGGCCAACTCTCCCTCGGGGTGGAGGCAGAACCAGCCTCTGCGCCCCCGGCCCCTCCATCCTGGAGAACTCGCATTTGCTGAGCAGCCCCTCTGTGCCAGCCACCTGGTGGGGAGGTTGTCTTAGTTCACAGAATACCACAGACTGGGTGGCTTATGGACAACCAAGGCTTATTTCTCACAGTTTTGGAGTCTGGGAAGTCCAAGGTGCCGGTGGATTCAGTGTTCCATGAGAGCCTGTCCCAACTTCCTAGGCAGCCAACTTCTCTCTGTGTCCTCACATGGTAGAGGGGTGAGGGAGTTCTCTGCGATCTCTTTTATTTCGGCACTAATCCCATTCGTGAGGGCTCCACCCTCATAACCTAATCACCCCCCAAAGGCTTCCCCTTCTAATAGCATCACACTGGGGATTACGTTTCGTAAGAGTTTTCAGGGGACATGAGTGTTTCAGTCTATAGCGGATATTTGTTTACTTTGCCTTATTTACTCCTTGCAGTTGAGTAGGTACTATTATTCCTGGTCAACAGATGAGAAAACTGAGGCTCCTAAAGGCTGCCCAAGGCCACAGAGCTTGTAAAGCATGAAACAGAAACTTCAACTGGTTCTTGTCTGGCATGAAAGCCTGTGCTCTTTCCACTAGAAATCAGTCATCAAAAATTTTAAATTACGAGAAAGCTTGTGATAAGCTGAATGCCCAGAGAGAGGGGATCTGTGGTTAACAGATGCTCTTGATTTCAGCCCTTACTGACATTTCACTGCCGTCTCAGTTCTATTTCCTTCCGGAATAGGGAGGGACTGGGAACAGGCTGCACCGCTCTTTGCAGAGAAACCCCCGCATTCTCTCCATCACCACCAGGAGACGGAGAAGGCGTAGGGGACTGGGCTCACGGGAGACTGTCACCAGGCTGGATTCCTCCCTCCTGCAGCACGGTGTAGTGTTTCCTTCAGAGGAGACAAGAAGTAATTCCTCTCTTATTCCTTGAAATGGAAGGCAGGGAAGAGCAAATCCCAATGAATAAAATTATTAGGGGTTTTCTTTACGAGGAGGCTCTGTGCCCTCCTAGAGCTGTGAGGGCCTTCCTCAGTTCAGGATCTGGATCCTTTTAGGTGGAATGAGTGTTGAGAGCATGGTCTCTGCCATCTGATCATCTGCCAAGGCTTCTGCCATCGGATCATCTGGGTTCAAGTTTTGGCTCTTCCCTTATGGGCTGGGGGTTCTGGGGCCAGTTGCAGAGGTTCTCTGTGCTTCATCGTCCTTGTCTGTGACATGGAGAGATAGTTGTTACGGATTGCATGGGGTTACAATATGTGGTGGACTCAAAGAGAGCATAGGTAAAGCACAGCGTCTGGCACAGAGCAAGTGCTCAGTAAGTCCCAGCATCATCGTGGCAGCTCAGGATGGCAGACAGCGGGTCTCAATGTAGCGGAAAGGAGCTGGAGGTCCTCTGGGTGATCCAATGTATCACAGTGGTTAGGGCAGCAGCGGCCAGCCCGAGGTGGGCGTTACATCAAGGACAGTGACCGCCCTGATCACTCACCCATCCGCCTCTCCTTTGCCAGGTGCTGAGATCAACACACAGGCCAGCGACCACGCATCTGCCCTCTACGAGGCCTGCAAGAACGAGCACGAGAAGGTGGTGGAGTTCCTGCTGTCGCAGGGTGCCGACGCCAACAAGGCCAACAAGGATGGCATACTCCCGCTGCACATCGCTTCCAAGAAGGGCAACTACAGGTCAGCCCAGGCCCCGCCCCTGCACCCGGAGGCTCCTCGCCCACCCCGCCCATTCCTCTGAATGCCCCGCCCACGGGGGTAGGGAGGCCCAGGAGAGGTCAGATCCCAGGCCACATTTTAGGTGGAAAAGAGGAAGACCCCTCAGCAGTCAGCAAGCTAGAGTGAATGCTTACAACACCAGGAACAATAATAATAGCCAACACCTGTGTGGCACTTTCCAGCACTTTACATTAGAAATGTGTTTAATTCTTTTAACAACTGTACTTTTCATAATTCTTTTAACAGATCTACTGAGGTAGATACGATTATCTTCATTTTTTCTCAAATGAGGAAGCTAAGACAGAGAGGTTGAGCGACTTGCCCAAGGTCACTCAGCTTGCAAATGACAGGAACTCACCTGTTCCAAATGTCACTTCTACTGGATTCCACACAGAAAGCCAGATATGAGTCTGGACTAGTGGATATTTCTGTTGGGGATGCAAAGATAACCTCTTAGGCAGTTAGCAGGCATACAGAGTATACCTACAATAATACAAATAGTACCATTGATACTAGCTAGTTTTTCTTAAGCACTTACTATGTGCTAGGTACTTTGAGTGAGATGAGAGAAGCTTAAGTTTTCACGGAGCAATCTGGTGGGATGGAAGATGCGTGCGCGCGCACACACACACACACACACACACACACAAATTCATGACAAATGAAAGAGCATGAAGAGCTGAGGTCCGTGGTGGTCCTAGAGACTAGCATGGGCTGGAAGCAGAGGTGTGCTAGAGCTGGCTTGTACAGCTCCTGTGAGCTGATTGATCACATCGGTAGTCTGAAATTGGCCGTGGTGAGAGTATTTACACCATGGAAATTAATGATTGTTAGAAATCAGAGGCCCCTCCTCCCCCCAGAGAGCAAGTTGTTAAACCTCCACCTGTACCACCACTAGCTGGAGGGTCAGGGAAGACTCGCCTAGGAGGTGGAACTCTAGCTGCCCGTGGAGGATGCACAGGGCCCAGTAATTTCCATTCGACCAGTGTTCCCCAAACTTTGAGCATTCACAGACATTCTTCCTGATTTTAGATATCTGTACCCTCACTTCTTAGTATTTTCCTTTCAAGACGTTATTATTTTAAATGAATTTATTTTCAAAAGGGAACGTTTATCACCCTATTAAATTGTTAAAATTATCAAGTTACAATTAATAAAAAAAACCTTCTCACCTAAAATCCCATCTCGTGTACCCCAGACGACACACTCTGGGAAATGCAGCCCTGTCCTCAGCGGGAGAAGACTGTGTGTGCTGGAGAGTGTGGCTGGTCTCCGCTAAGGCAGAGGGAAATGGGGGTGAGAGTGACATCCTGGAGAATGGAGTGGAGACACAAGGAGACAGAGCTGACCCTCAGGGGCCCCAGGCCCTGCTCTGTAGGTACCCGCACAAATGACCAACCAAGGATGCCCTCCCCGCTCCATGCCCCATACATGCACAGAGGAGACCCCGCATTCTCTGGACCAAGTAGCAGGCCGTGAGGCAGACATATCTGGGTTTGAATGCCTCCTGAGGCCTTGGGGAGGTTGCTTAACCTTTCTGAGCCTTAATTCCCTCTTGTGTAAAATGGGAGGTAGGTTGCACTGCCTCGGGGGCTGTTGCGGGGACTAGTGAAATGGATATACGTGACTATAGAATGGAAATAAAGCCCTCAGCAGAGCACCTGGCACACAGTAGGTGCTCACTGGGTCTGCATTCTCTCTTATGTAGGGAGGGTACATTCCATAATTTTTCAGTGAAACCAATGAAGGGATGAAAGCAACTTAAGTCAGGCAGAGGTGGTGGGCAAGATAGCATCTTGCTCTTCAGCTCCAGAAAGATGCAGCATCAGTCAACAAACATGGATTATCTTAACCTGACTCCAGAGAGATCCTGAGGGGAAGAGACAGAAGGGTTGACCCTTGAAATCTCCTGGTACACTGGCTCCCCATACTTGCCTGTATAGCACAGTCACTCTGGGCTATTTTTTAAATGGCACGTCCCAGACACACGGAACCAGAATCTCCAAGAGAGAAGGAGCCCAAGTCTCTATCATTGAAAAGCTCTGAGTCAACCAGATACAGCCCAGCCAGCCCTCTGGGGTGGGGGTGGGGGACCATTGATCTAATCCAAGCCTGATTTTGCAGAGGAGAGACCCGAGGACAGAGATGGGAAGTGGCTTGCCAGAGAGTGGCCGAGCTGGGACTGTCGCTTGGCATCCTCCAGTCACGCCCAATGCCTTCAGGTGGAACTAGATGTCAGCAGTCTGGCCCCAGCTGGTGGGGAGTTTGAAAGAGCACTGGATGTGGCTAAGGATGGCCAGGGAGAAAGGCTGGGCCTCCCTGGAACCACCTGCTTTGGACTCGTGCTGACTCCCAAAGCCATTTCCCTGGTTATTCACCCTCCATTCTCAGACCTTAGTTCCCTCTGGACCCCAAGACTGAGAGGGGCCAGGCCACCTTTTGAGGGCTGCCCTACAAAGGGGTAAAGCCGATTCCCAGCAGCTCCTGCCACCTGGCAGGGCCCGCGGCCAGGCAAGCCCCAAGTGCTGCACTCACTCCCTGGGCATGTGGCATGGGGCCCTCTCCACGCTGTCCTCCCTTGGCTGCTTGGGGATTTGATGTGAATCTCCCTAGGCCTTCCACACTCACCACCTGCCAGGACGCCCTCCCTGTCCGTAGCATGGAAAGTGGCTCCAGCATCTGGGATCGGTGCTCGCCAGACGGTGTCTTCATCAATTTTAACTGGAGGGCGTGACATTTAGGCGTGGCTGAGAAAGAAGCCCCCAAGACCCCAAAGTCTTAGCACCTCCAAGACACACTTCTTTCTTTCTTTCTTTTTTTATAAATTTATTTATCTTTTTTTATTTTTGGCTGCGTTGGGTCTTCATTGCTGTGCACGGGCTTTCTCTAGTTGTGACGAGCGGGGGGCTACTCTTCGTTGCAGTGGCTTCTCTTGTTGCGGAGCACGGGCTCTAGGCGCACAGGGTTAGTAGTTGTGGCACACAGGCTCAGTAGTTGTGGCGCATGGGTTTAGTTGCTCCGCGCCATGTGGTATCTTCCCGGACCAGGGCTCGAACCCGTGTCCCCTGCATTGGCAGGCGGATTCTTAACCACTGCGCCACCAGGGAAGCCCCAAGACACACTTTTTCTTATTTTTCATTTCCAGTTTAGCAAAGACACCTTATGACATTAAAACTCAGCACCAAAGATAGACTTATTAAGAAGTTGTATTAGACAAGAGCAGATGGCGCAAGATCCCTTTAAACTGAATTTAGAATAGCACTGAAACCACTGGTTCTCAACCTTGGCTACACACTGGAGCCCTGGGGAACTCTTAAAACCCTGAGGCTGGCTTCCCTGGGTCGGTCCGGGAAGATCCCACATGCCGCGGAGCGGCTGGGCCCGTGAGCCATGGCCGCTGAGCCTGCGCGTCCGGAGCCTGTGCTGCGCGGCGGGAGAGGCCACGGCAGTGAGAGGCCCGCGTACAGCAAAAAAAAACAAAAAACAAAAAACAAAACAAAAAAAAACCCTGAGGCTTGGGCGCCACCCTCAGAGATATCGCTGTAAGCAATCTGGGTTGGGGCTAGGGCTGCAGGATTTCTAAAAGCCCTCAGGTGATTTTACCAGGCATCCCAGGGGAGAACCAATCTGTAGTTTGTGGCTGACATATAACACTGACTTGTATTTTGGGCCTTCCCTAATATTTAAATATCCTTTCTCTTTTACTTCTAATTTATATTACCTTTGCAAGCCACCTAAAACTCTTTCTGGGAAAGGCAGAATAGAGAACATTTAATACATTAAATTAAAATGCATTTTTCAACACATTCATAAGCAAGTTAGCATGCCCGTTAATTAAAAGGGAAACTGAGGCTCAGAGCTCAAGTCCTCCCAGAAAATAAGAGGACAGGCCCCTTTATCTAACCCCATCCACTCCAGGAAACTGGTTTACTGCTTGTGCCTTCTAGAGGAAAATGAAGGTTTGCAGCAAAGTTTCTCAAGGCATGATGCATAGATCACCCACCTCAGATTCCGGGGGCCCTCCCCAGACAGGCTGAATCGGGCCCTGAATGACAGGGGCCCAGGAATCTGCATTTTCAGCATTCCCTCAGGGATTCTGAGTTGCACAGGGATTGAGAGCACGCAGTTTGCATCCTCAGCAAGCTCCATTCTCTCTCCGAGGACCCAGAGACCCCTAGGCTTGCTTGTTCATCCAGCAGGTGGCACAGAGTGGCAGTGGGCCTGTTTTTCCTCCTTCGTGGAGCACCTGCTCCTCTGCTCCAGCTCCCAGGGGAAGAGCTGCAGACTTTCCCCCGGAGGGATCCCTCGTGGGTAGGAGTCCCACTGTGCCCTTGGGAACACCCTTAGGCAGATTCTCCACTGGTGGAGCATTTGCTGGCTCCATAAGGGCTCAGAAAAGAGGTAATCCTCCCTGAACACACACACACACACACACACACACACACACACACACACTGCCAGGCTGACACAGTGCTACCAGTGGTATTGGGAGCAGAGCCATTTGTGGGCAGCTGGTTCCCTTGCGAAAGTCAAGTCCATGGTCAAATTTATACTGAATGCTGGCAGAGGTCACACCACCGTGACCCGGTGACCCAGGAGGCTGAGCTGGTGGGTGCAGCCTCCGTGCTGGGGAAAGGAGAAGAGAGGGACAGGGAACTAGGCCTCCCAGACACCAAAGTTTCTGCCAGGCAATGGGTACATTTGTTCTCTTCTTAAGGTGCATTTTGAGCACCTGTGGTCCCAGGACCTGCCCATGGGAGAAATGGGAATGTCCCAGTCTGTCTTGTGGGGTCTCCCCCTCATCCTCCTGCCCTCCTCCCACCAGCTGGGCTGTGGGAGAGAAGTGATGACATGCAGTGGGGCAACCAACACTCCCCAGGCCTAGCGGGACTGAGGCATCATGGAAAGGCCTGGCCTTGGGCATTCTGACGCCTGCATTCTGCCCTGGCTTTGACATCCACCTCCAATCCAACCTCCACCTCCCACCCCACACCCAGGTCTCAGTTTCACCCTCTGTAAAACGGGAGGCTGGACACATTGCTCTCCAGACCCCGCCCAGCATTATATTTACTCTCAGCTTGGCCAAGTCCTCCAGAGCGTACAAAAATTAGATAATTTCACTGTGTTATTTTCTGGGACTCTAGGCAACGTCCAGTCACGTTCCCACATTTCTGCCATTTTCCCTTGGTTCGGCAACGGACCAGTGGAGACCAGCTGTGCCCTGCCAGAGATACCAGCCCATCTGGCCAGTGGCCCCAGGCAGCCCCTTTCACTGTTTTTCCCGTGCTTGGGCATGTTACGGCTGTCAGGGAGCATTTGTTGGCGATGGCTGTGGTCCAGGCTGAGGCCCTGGCCCCGCCTTTGACCAGCACCTCAACAGAGCGAGGTCAGGCCTCCTGAGCCTGCACAAATAGAAATTAGGAGGCAATTAGCCCCCCTGGGTGTGTGAATTTCCTTTTGAGGTTTGAGAGGCAGATTTTAAGCAAACACAGCGTCACTAACCATAATAATACTTTCCACTGAGATCCTAATGGGAGGTCCTTGGCACCACATTTCTAAGAAGCCAGAAGCCCCAGGAGCCCAAGTGCCAGGAGGCAAAGAGGTGTGGGAATGGGCCTGGTGGCACCTGCTTGCCCTGCCATGGCCACTTCCTTGGAGCCCACACAAGGTCACCTGTCATCCGGGATTGTGTGGATTAAGGTCTGTAATCACGTCAGTGGCAAGAGCTTGGTAGGTGGCAGGAGTCTAGGGGAAGACAGCAAATACAAGGGGTCAGGATTCCTGGGGTCAAGCCCCAGAACTGCTTTATGGCCCTTGATCAGTCACTTCATCCCTCTGAGCCCTGCCTGTTACAAAGAAGGCCACAGACCCACTCTGGCTACCTCCACAGCCTGCAGTGAAGGTAAAATGGGGCAGGCAAGTAATGTGTTGTGAAGAATGTAAAACCCTGTGACATAGCAGCTGTCTCCTGACTGCCACACAAGAGGCAGAGGAGTGGTTAAGAGTGTGCTCCTCACTCTAGGGGGAATCAGACTAGCTGGGTTCAAATCCTGGCTCCATCACCTACTGGCTGTGTATCCCTGGGCTTCTCTTTCCTCATCTGTAAATGAGGTTAATGCTAGTACACATCTCATAGGGCTGTTGGGAGGATGTAGCAGATTAGCGTAGGTTAAGTGCTGAGAATAGTGCCTGATTCATCAGAAGAGAGCAGAGTCAGGGCTGGCAGCAATCTCCACCCTCAGCCGCAGCTGATCTACCCTCTCCAAGCCACAGGCAGGGCAGAGAGACTGGCAGAGGCTAGAGTCAGCCTTCAGGGGAAGAGGCTCTGAGACTCCCAGGACCAGGGAGGCGACCTCATGGTCACTGAGGGCTAACTGGGGTCTGGGGCAGGAGTGGCTGGGGCCAGACAGATTTGTCCCCTCCTGTCCCCCAGGACCTGGTTGGCTCCACCAAGGCCTCAGGGCAGCAAGACAGAGATGCAGGACAGCTCAGCCCTGGAGTCAGAGGAAGGTACAAATCCTGGTTTGTGTCTCCCGATGTATGGCCTGGGCAAGCCCCCCTAACCGCTCTGAGCATTGAGTTTTCTCATCTGGAAAAAAGGGAATGACGAGACATACTTTATGGGGTGTTGTAAAGATTAAACCGAATAGTGTTTGTAAAGCCTTTGGATGTCTCCTGGCACATAGTGAGCCCTTGGATATGGCTGTCCCTGCCCGCCCACGCCTACCCACACCCCCAGCCTACCTAGGCAGGGCACGATGTGGCTCTACTGCCTCCTGAAGATAGTAGCGCAGACAGTCATTAGGTTTGGGGGCCTTCTAATCAATTCCTTCAGATAACTGAGCTGGGAATGGGCAACACTCCTTAGCCTGAAGTAAGTCGGCAAGAGATTCTTGAAACCACAGGCCAGTCTGGCTGAGGCTTTTAAGGACTCAGACTTTGGAGGCTAAGGGTTGTGGGTTTGAAGCCCAGCTCCACTCATTACTGGCTCTGTGATTTTGAGAAGGTGGTGGAAGCTCTCTGAGCCTCAAGTTTCCTTATCTGTAAAGCAGACCCAGTCTCCCCCAAGTGGTAATTGTGAGAACGGCTGTCTCCGCGGCGCCCCCTGCTGGTGGGCCCGTGCCTCCTCACTCTGGTTGCGAGTGGCCGAGCCTGGCCCCTCCGTTCCCCGCGGGGGCGGATCCGGCCCAGACGTGCGGGCCGCCCCGTGACCCGCGCGTGCCCGCCCCGCCCGCAGGATCGTGCAGATGTTGCTGCCGGTGACCAGCCGCACGCGCGTGCGCCGTAGCGGCATCAGCCCGCTGCACCTGGCTGCCGAGCGCAACAACGACGAGGTGCTCGAGGCTCTGCTGAGCGCGCGCTTCGACGTGAACGCGCCCCTGGCGCCCGAGCGCGCGCGCCTCTACGAGGACCGGCGCAGCTCGGCGCTGTACTTCGCGGTGGTCAACAACAACGTGTACGCCACCGAGCTGCTGCTGCTCGCCGGCGCCGACCCCAACCGCGACGTCATCAACCCCCTGCTGGTGGCCATCCGCCACGGCTGCCTGCGCACCATGCAGCTGCTGCTGGACCACGGCGCCAACATCGACGCCTACATCGCCACGCACCCCACCGCCTTCCCCGCCACCATCATGTTCTCCATGAAGTGCCTGTCGCTGCTCAAGTTCCTCATGGACCTCGGCTGCAACGGCGAGCCCTGCTTCTCGTGCCTGTACGGCAACGGCCCGCACCCGCCCGCCCCGTCGCCCTCCAACAGGTTCAACAACGCGCCCGGCTCGAACAAGGCGCCAGGCGTGGTCCAGGTAGGAAGGCGCGTCTGGGGGAGTGCGGCCAGGGCCAGTGCGCTCCGGAGGCTGGGGGGACTAGTGGTTCACTCGCTGTCGAGGCTGTGTGCACCGGAGGCGGGGTGGAATACACTAGGGAGGCAGCAGAAGATGATGGTTAGCAGGATTTGGAGGCAGTGTGGACTCATGGTCAGTGCACTTTGGAGGGAGTGTAAGCTAGTATTTAGCGCTCTTCGGAGGCAGTAGAACCCGGTGTTAGCATGCTTTAGAGGCAGCAGAACTTAGTGGTTCACGTGAGCGATTAAGTCCTTTCTTTGGTCTGCTGTTTTGGGGGAAGGAACAGTGGAGCAGGGGACTGGTGAGGAACTGAGGGGTCCATTGCCCCCAGCAAACCTACACCTGGAATATGAGGTTGATTGACCAGGATCCGGGTGGAGGTGAGAGCAGGCTGGTACAAGGTCAGGTGAGGTGCAGAAAGTCAGTGACCCCAGCGGCAAGACCTGTCCATGGTGATGACTTAAATAAGCCAGAATGTAAAATGAAAAGGAAATTAGAAACATCCTCCTCTTGGAGATATTAACAATGGCTAATGGCCATCACTTATGGGCTATCCTCTGTGTGCAGAGAAGTTTATGTTTATATTACCTTAATTCTCATAAAAAAAAAAACCTTGAAGTTGGTGTCATATACCCATTTTCTAGACAAGGAAGTTGAGGCTTAGGGAGGTGACGTGACTTGCCCAAGTTGCCCACCTCCCGCTTTTGGCAGCAGTAGGCCTGTGTTGATGAGAGAGGGGTGTGGATGTGGAGAAGTGGATTCTACCCTGGGCGTGCCCAGTGTCTGTCCTCAGACATGTCCCCTGCCCTCACTGGCCGCAGGTTCCCACCTGTAGGATGAGCTTGCTGAGGCAGTGCCCTTGGTCCCGGGTGTCCCAGCCCTGGTGTGTGTGCCCTTTCAGTTCTGCGAGATTCTGTCTGCCCCGGAGGTGAGCCGCTGGGCAGGGCCCATCATCGACGTCCTCCTGGACTACGTGGGCAACGTGCAGCTCTGCTCCCGGCTGAAGGAGCACATTGACAGCTTCGAGGACTGGGCTGTCATCAAGGAGAAAGCAGGTAGGGGCTGTCACTGCTGCGGCCAGCAGCTCACCCTGCCTTACTCAGGCCGGGACTCGGGGCCTGTGACTGTTACTGACATTTGATGAGCACCTCACCTTCTCGTGCCAGGCTCTGTGCATCCAGTGTCTCCGTGATTCCTCGTTTTGTAAGTGAGGAGCCTGACCCTCAGACTGTCACTTGGCGAGTGTCTCACCACTAGTTAGTGGCAGAGCTGGGCTTCAAACCCAGGTTTGATCGACCCCAACATCCCGCCACTAAATCTCTCTAGGATGCTTTAAACAAAAACTCCGGCTCCCCGAGGGGTATCAGGACCTTTAGAGTAAGTTGCCCAGGATTATGGGCCACTGGGAAGCAGTGTGGTGGGGTGGAGGAGGGAGTTATGGGCTAGGGCATCTCAAACTGCAAAGTGCACACGAAGCACCTGAGCATCTTGTTTAAAAATGCAGAGTCTGACTCAGCAGGTCTGGGGCGGGGCCTAAAAGTCTGCATTTCATCATGCTCCCAGGTGGTGCCAGTGCTGTCAGGTCACCGGTCTAGGGGCCAGGCCCCCGGAGCTCTGGAACCGGGGGCTTGCTGGGTGACCGTGGGCAGGACTCCCCTCTGGACCTCAGTATCCCTGTCTGAACAGAGCAGGTTGGCAGGCTCAATGTCCAGCCCCATCCAGCTCTGCCAGCTTGGGGTGTTTGCAGGGCTGGGTGTGTGCCTGGCACAGTGAGGCGGGCTTTGGCCACGGTCCAGCAGCTGTGTGCAGTGTAGATGGAGCAGCCTGGCTGAGTCAGGCCAAGAATTCCTATAAGAAATTATGGGCAGGTGAGGCGTCAGAGCCAGTTGAACTGGGTGCTGCAGCTGATACTGAGGAGATGCCTGCCCCGAGGCAATCCAGCTGCCCCAGGGCTTTCTCTGGCTCTAGGGGGCACAGTCCTGTCTCTGACCAAGTGCTTGTCAATCACGCAGCACAGAGGCTGACCCACAGAAAGTTATTATTATCCCACCATTGCTGCTGCTGTCCCCAGGTGAAAACGCTGCCTCATTACCTGTCCAGTTGTCCCACAGCCCAGTGCCCCAACTCTGACTTGCCAGGTTCTCCTTGATCCCTGTGCCCCTTTGAACCCACACTTGCCGTAGGATTTTCCATTTGCACAAATGCCTGGGAGCTCTTGAATTGAGGCCCTTAATAAAGTTACTGGGCTGGCGATAGCGGGGAGGAGGAGGGGGCGGAGGACGGGGGAGGGTGGGATGGACTTGTTCACTCACTGGGAACTTTAGATGCTCAATAAACAAACGTTCCTTGAATTAATGAATAATTGGTTGCCATCACCGTGACTGGCCACTAGAGGCCACTAGAGAATAGAGCGGTCCTTGCTTAGGTGTCGTCCCACCTCTCACTGTCCCCTCCTCAAGCCCTGCCTGGGAAGGGTAATTTACAACTAAACTGTGTCCCTGGGAAAAAAATATGCTGAACCCTTTAGTGTGCTACAAACATTTATTAACAGGAAGAACAAATAGTTCTTAACCAGTACCTCTTCCGGTTACTATAAAGCCCACCCTCCATCTGCGAAACACTTTCCCACGTTCGTTTTCATTTAATGCTGTGACATTGACATCAGAGACTCCAAAGCCAGCCAGGATACCAGCCCTGGTAGCCCTGTGTCCTTTGCCTACCCAGTGGCCTTTTGCCTTCCCACAAGCTCAGACTTCACTCAGCCGAGAGCGGAGCTGAGCATCCCAGAGGGCAGCCTCTGTCCTGAGATCAGAGGGCAGCGGAAGTGTCAGCAGTGTCGTGATGGGGCAGCTAGTGAGACAGCCCTGCAGCTGGCTGCTCTCCCCCCTCCCCCCACATTCCGTCTGCACCCTGGTCTTCCCT